TCTCAGCTTGAATTTCCCTCATGCACCCCCAGAGAATGCCTTGGCTCTGTGTAATCTATATTAATGATAGTATCTGTGTTGTCAATTCTGCTCAGCACAAACCCAAAACCAGCACACTATAGTATAATAGTTTTCCTAGTGCTTGGAGATGAATGATGAAATGGACTAAAACATATAATTGCCTTATAATGCATTTGCAGTCTTTCTTGTCTTTATTTTTCATGTATAATTTAACATCAAACTTCTTAATTTATTTACAGGTAATTGTGATAGATATTTTCAAGCAGTTTAAGTTCCCATCTGCTATCCTGAGAAGATTTTAATTACATCTGTACTTTTGAGTTGAAGATATTTACCAGTTTATTGACAGGATAATACCATATTCATATCCATTTTAGCCCATGCTTCCCTGATGATACTGAAACTAAATGTGAGTCACAGTGTTTGTCTTGAGAGACTCATTGTTTTGACAGGTTGGTATTGAGACTAGAAAACTCAGATCACATGGATGGTGGATCAGCTACAGGCTATTGTGGTTTGACACTGGCCAAACTCCAGGCACCCACAAAAGCCGCTTGCTCACCCTCCCCTGCCAGAGCTGGGCAAAGGAGAGAAGAATTAATGAAGGATTCATGAGCTGAGATAAGGACTGGGGGAAAAAAAAATCTCCAAGGGAAAAACAGGCTCAACTTACAAAGTGAATTTATTATTAATAAAATCAGGAGGATAATGAAAAGTAAAATAAGCCCTTAGAAACATCCTTTCTTCCCCTAACGCCTTCCTCCTTCCCACTGGCAGCACAGCGAGACAGGGCATGGGGATTTGGTCAGATCCTCACCTGAGGTTTTCTTCCTCTGCACAGGGAGAGGAGTCCAACCCCTGCTGCACCATGGGTCCCTTCCACGGGAGACAGTTCTCCATGAACTTCTCCAAAGTGGCTCCAAATGTCACAAGCAGCAGTCCTCCCAAACCTGCTGCAACGCAAGTCCCTCCCACAGTGGAACAGTCCTCCCAAAACTGCTGTGGCATGGGTTGCTGTTCTACAGGGTGCAGTCCTCCAAGGACAGGCTGCTCCAGCTTGGAAGCAGGGCCTTCTCTCTCCACTGGGTCTCCCACTGGATCACAGCCTCTTCCAGGCATTCACCTGCTCTGGCATGGGCACCTCCCCCATGGGCTGTGGGTGGATCTCTGAACCCCTTGTGGATCCCCACGGGCTGTGGGTGGATCTCTGAACCCCCTGTGGTTCCCCACGGGCTGTGGGTGGATCTTTGCATCCCCCCATGGATCCCCACAGGCTATGGGTGGATCTCTGATCCCCCTGTGGATCCCCAAGGGCTGTGGGTGGATCTCTGAACCCCCCGTGGATCCCCACGGGCTGTGGGTGGATCTCTGAATCCCCTGTGGATCCCCATGGGCTGTGGGTGGATCTCTGAACCCCCCGTGGATCCCCACGGGCTGTGGGTGGATCTCTGTGTTCCCTGTGGATCCCCAAGGGCTGTGGGTGGATCTCTGAATCCCCTGTGGATCCCCATGGGCTGTGGGTGGATCTCTGTGTTCCCATGGATCCCCAAGGGCTGTGGGTGGATCTCTGAACCCCCTGTGGATCCCCACAGGCTGTGGGTGGATCTCTGCATCCCCTGTGGATCCCCAAGGGCTGTGGGTGGATCTCTGAGCCCCCTGTGGATCCCCAAGGGCTGTGGGTGGATCTCTGAGCTCCCTGTGGATCCCAATGGGATGTGGGTGGATCTCTGAGCTCCCTGTGGATCCCAATGGGCTGTGGGTGGATCTCTGAGCCCCCATGGATCCCCCATGGGCTGTGGGTGGATCTCTGATCCCCCTGTGGATCCCCAAGGGCTGTGGGTGGATCTCTGCATCCTCTGTGGATTCCCAAGGGCTGCAGGGGCACAACTGCTTCACCACGGTCTCACCACAGCCTGCAGAGGAATCTCGGCTTCGGCACCTGGAGCACCTCCTCCTCCTTCTCCACTGACCTTGGTGTCTCCATGCAGTTTCCCTCACATGTTCTCACCTCCTCCTCTGGCTAGAAAAAACTGCACTTTGTTTTGTTTTCCTTCTTAAATACGTTATCACA